TGCCTTCGTCGGTGACGTGCACCGGTATGAGGCAGCGACCAAGCGCCACCACAAAATCAACCTCGGCGACCTGGTCACTATTGTCATTCCAGTGGAGGGCAAGAGGGACCAGTACCTAGTCAGTTTGCGAAACAAGGTAATTTTTTTGGGCTTTCTTAATCAGTTCGATTTACTGATTTCTCACTTTCAGGTAATTCACCTCACCTGGAACCTCACCGATGGCACGCACAGCCACAAGGTGCTCGCCGAGGTGGCGTCAGAAAGGCGCGGAAAAGAGCGCTTCAACGACGGCAAAGTTGACGCCCTGGGCCGCCTGTGGATCGGCACACTGCTCAACGCCGAAGACGGTTCGGTGGTGCCCGGCGCCGGGTCGCTCTACAAGTTGGACACCGCCAATGGAAGCTTCACGAAGATGAGCTCCAACTTCACCCTCTCCAACGGCATGGCCTGGAACGCCAACAACACGCTGATGTACTTCAACGACTCGGAGGACCGGAAGACGTACGTCTTTGACTTTGACCTGCCCAATGGGACGATCAGTAAGTCAGACATTTCTCTTTGCTTTTACCTTTTTAAAACCTTTCTTTTTCCCAACCAGGCAACAAGCGCATCCTCGTGGACTACGCAAAGGAGCCGGAGAACGTCTATGGCGCCGGTGAGTACCCCGACGGCATGGCCATGGACGCCGAGGGCCGGCTGTGGATTGCCCTCTACGGCGGCGGACGGGTGATCCGGTTAGAGCCGAGCACTGGGCAGCTGCTGACCTCAGTTCCGGTGCCCGCCCCTCAGACCACTTCGCTCGCCTTTGGGGGAGGCGCCCACTTTGAGACGATCTTCGTGACGACGGCCAGCAGCGATGTGAAAGGCAAACCGCAGTTGGAGGCAAAGTACCCGCAGGCTGGGCGCATCTTTACCATCACTCGAAAGGCGAATGGCACCGCCCTACAGGGCGTCAAGGCGTTTAATTTCAAGGCCAAAAACTAAAAACAGAGTAGTGGCTGCTGACTAGAAGAATTGCCCTCATCAACTGTAAACTCTAGACTAAAAGACAAAAGGTTTGCAACTGCTGCTGTTGCCAATAAAAAGAACACAAGTAAGTCAACTGAGCACATACACCTAAACGAAAAGCTTCCCCACAAAGCCGCTGTAGTCGTAGGCGTCCTTGATCTCCCGGCCCGTCTTCGCCTCCACGTAGGGCGTCATCCTCGCCACGCAGTAGGCCACCTTGTCGCGAGGTAGGTTCTGCAGGGAAAAAGATTTAGAACACAATTTAGAACCCCATCTTCAGAACCAAAACAAACAGCAGCACACTCACCGCATTGAGCTCCTCCAGCGTCACGTACGGCCGATCGGAGGCGATGGCCCTGAAGGCCGACAGGACCTCATCGCTGGTGCTGATATTTTCCGTCTCCTTGCTGATCATGTAGGCGATGTAGTCGTGCAGGTAGACGCGGCCGCTGCGGGCCGGATCGACCGCGTCGAGGATCGCCTCCCACTCCGGATCCCGTTCGCCCTCCTCCACCATCGGCAGGTCGTAGCCGAGGCCGCGCATGCAGCTCTTCAGGGGCGCATGGGCCAGCCAGCCCTGCCGTTCCCGGTCAAAGTGCTTGAACATCATCGTGAACTCCTTCAGCGCCTCCTCGCTGACGCCCGACCGGTTCTTCGCCTGGATCTGCTGCTGCAGGTTGTGCTGCATGCGCATCGCCAGCTGATTCAACTGGTCCCAGGCCTGGCCCAGGCTGAGGGCGCTGTGGTTGGTGTAGCGGTTCTCCAGGATCAGCTGCTCCTCGAGGGAGCTGGAGAGCGCCTCGATCCGCTTCAGTTCCTCTCGCTTGGCGGCAATCTCCGCCGACTTGCTGACGGCGCTCGCCAGCTGTTCCTCCAGGGTGCCCTGCGTCTCCATGAGGGAGTATCTGGTGGAGAAAAAGGCTTTTGAGTTTCGATTTCTATTTCCGCCCACCCCTCTTCCCCTCCCCTCTTTGTTTACCTCATATCGGAAATCCACGCATGGCACCGGTCGGCCAGCTGAGCGTACTCCAGCCGCAGCTTGTCATTGTCCAGCTGGCGCTGGTGCTCCGCCGCAAGGTCCGCCTCGCGCTCGCGAACTATCTTCGCCAGATTGCGCCACGTCTCCTCTAGCGCCTCCATGGTGAACCAGGTGTAGGGGTTGGCGCCCAGGCTGTACGCCTTGATCTTTTTGTCCAGCTCCGCCAGCGTCTCATAGTCGCGCTGGGCGCCACCCAGAGAGGCGACAAACGCCCGATGCGCTTCCTGCAGCGCCACGATCTCCTCCACCGAGTGGCAGCGCACTGGATCGGTCAGATCCTCCTCGGCGTTTTCGAACCAGCTGTTGAAGGCGCTCGCTTTCTTTGCAAACGCCAGAAAGAGCTCCTCAATGTCGCCGTACTGGCGCTGGAGGGCGGCCAGGCGGTGCCGGCGCGCTTCTGTCAGCCCCCTCAAATTGTGCCAGCGGCTCATCAGCTGGTCATGGCGGCGCTGGATCGCCTCGCGCTGCTCGTGCCGCCGCTCCTCGCCGGCCAGCGTCTCCTTCAGCGAGGTGATGCTGGCGACGCCTTCCGCCTCAAAGGCGGCCAGCGTGCTCTCGAAGGCTTCCTGCTTCTAAATGGGAGAAGAAAGAGATGATGATGATGAAATCATTAAGAAAACACCTATTGTTCTTACTGTGATCAGCGTGGAAACGGCCGAGTAGTCGCGCCCGGTCAGATCGTCGCCTGCTCCCGCCGCCGCTGCCTCTTTCTCCGCGATCCACCCCTCCACCACGTCCGCCTTCCACAGGTACTGCAGGTAGTCAAAGTGGTCCTTCAGCCGACGACGACGCTCCTCCGCCAGCCGCTCCAGCTCCTCCAACTTCTCCCGGAGCGCCTTTAGCCTCTGCTCAATCTCCTCGCGATAGTGGCAGCCCTCCTCGGCCATCAGCCCGCGCCCGGTAGCGGTCAGGTCTTCGAGGCGCTGGCCGCTGTGCAGCGCGTAGTCGCCCTCGCTGAACAGCACCGCCTTCTTCAGCTGGCCCTGCACAGCGGCCATCGAGTCGCCGAGGGCAAAGGGCGACGGATCCGATTCAATGGCGGTCACCTCCAGCAGCGACCGCTGCTCGGCGATCCACGCCTCCTCCTCCTCCAGCTGACCGACAAACTGCCGGTACACTAGTGCCTCCTCGAGGCGGTCGCTCCGGGCTGCACAGGCCGCCTTCAGAGCCGTCCAGTTCGCCTCCAGCGTCTGCAGGCGCGTCTCCAGCTCGGGGCTGACGACGGACAGCTCCGGGAGACCGCTGCCACCGCCTCCGGCGCTGCCGGGCGACCGTTGCTCTGCCAGCAGCAACTGCCCCGCCTCGGCCACCGCTCGCAGCGCCGGCTCGTGGGCGGCCACCTCCGCCTCGAAGCGCTTCTGCTTCTTCCGCAGGCTGTTCACCGCCGGCAGGTCCTTGCCGTAGTCGCCGGTGTCGAGCAGGCGTCGCCGCTCGGCGATCCACGCCTCCTGGTCGGCAATGTCGCGCAGCAGCGAATGGAGGCGGACAGCTTCGGCGAGGCGGTCCCGGCGAAAGTCGGCCAGCGTCTTCAGCCGCTCGTAGCGCTCGTTGACGGCCGCTCGGCGTTCGGCGAGCACCGGCGAGTCGAGTGGCTGGGCCGCGGTTTGCTGTTGTGTCTGTCCGTCCTCTGCGGACGGCGCCGTTGCTGACGCCTCAATCAGCGCATCAGCCAGCGCGTTCATGTCCTTGATGCGTTCGCCTCGAGCGGCAATGTCCGCCTCGAGGGCGGCGTGTTTCTTCGCCGCCGCTTGCACCGCCGCCAGATTATCTTTGGAAGCAGGATTGGTCTTCGAAACGTCCTTCTCCTTCTCCACCTCACTCTCCGTTTCCTTCAGCAGTCCCTCCGTCTCGGTGAGCCAAAAGTCGAGGTCCTTCACGGCGGCATTGTAGTCCCGCCGTCTGTTGGCCTCCTTCAGCCGAATCGTCTTCTCCGCCGTCTTCTCAATCAGCACGTTCCACTGCTCGGTGATGTACTGCAGGCGATCCCGTACGGCTGACTCATTGCCCGCGCCGCACTTGTGGCCATCGAGGAGGCCCTCACCCGCATCCAAAGCGGCCTTCACCCGATCCTCATTGGCGTTGATCTCCGCCTCAAAGGCGGCGTGCTGCTGGACCTTGGAGGCGACGTTCGTCACATCACCAATGCCACCGCCGGCAGCGCTTCCACCACCACTGCTTCGATGCGACGCCGGCGACTGATCCAGCGCCGCCTGCAGTCGTTCGCCGATCCACGCCTCAATCTCATCGGCATCGCGACTGAACTGCTGCAGCGTCTTTGACTCGCCCAGCTTTGACTTCTTCTCGAGGAGGGCGTCTTTGAGGGAGCGCCAGCGATTGAGGACGGCCGCCAGGCGGTCGCCAATGGCCGGCGCGGCGTAGTTGCCGTGCAGCACCAGCTGGTCGGCGTAGTTGGACAGCGTGGCGATCTTCTCCTCCTGACTGGCAATTGCCTTGCCCAGGTCTTCGTGCCGCTTGATCATCGTCTCCACGGGAACCACCTCGGGTGCACTGGTTTCAGCTGACTTTGAATCATCCTCAGTGGACGTCTTCTTCTTCGGCGACTGCGGTTCATCACCCTCAGCCAGAAAGGCCTCCCGATGGGCCATCCACTCCTCCGCCAGGTCGCACTCCCGCGCAAAGTTCTGGTAATCGAGCGACTGAAGGAGGTGGGCGTGTCGAGCCTGCCAGGCCGCCCCCAACGCTTCTCTGAGCCGGGCCTCCTCCGTCAGCCGCTCTGCCACCTCGGGGCTGGCGTAGTGGCCCGCCTCGAGCAGCCGCCGACCAAAAGCCTCCAGCGAGGCNTAGGTCCTCGTGCCGCTTGATCATCGTCTCCACAGGGACCACCTCTGGTGCACTGGTTTCAGCGGACTTTGAATCATCCTCAGGTGACGTCTTCTTCTTCGGCGACTGCGGTTCATCACCCTCGGCCAGAAAGGCCTCCCGATGGGCCATCCACTCCTCCGCGAGGTCGCACTCCCGCGCAAAGTTCTGGTAATCGAGCGACTGAAGGAGGTGGGCGTGTCGAGCCTGCCAGGCCGCCCCCAACGCTTCTCTGAGCCGGGCCTCCTCCGTCAGCCGCTCTGCCACCTCGGGGCTGGCGTAGTGGCCCGCCTCGAGCAGCCGCCGACCAAAAGCCTCCAGCGAGGCGGTGGGCGCCGCCGTATTCGACTCAATCTCCTTCAGGCGCTCCTGGTGCTGCTCCAGCAGCGCCTCCGCCTCGATGGCGTCCGCCGGCTCGGTGGGCGGCACCTGCAGCACCGCCAGCATCGCCTCCAGCCAGTCGGCCAGGTGCTGGTAGTCCGCCCTGAAGGCCTGCAGGTCGTAGAGGTCGGTGATGCGGTCCTTCTGGCGGCGGGCGTCAGCTAGCAGGCGCTCCCAGTCGCCATCGACGGCGGCCTGCTTCGCCGCCGTCGTCTCCGCCGTCTCGGGGTGGTGGGCGGCCAGCCGACCGGAGGTGTCCTTCATTCGGCGGATCTTGTCGTCGAGGGCGGCCAGGTCGCGCTCCAGGCCGTCGTACTTGCGCTTCAGCGCTCGGACCGCTTTTAGGTCCGGTTCAGGGGAAGAAGGAGGAGTTTGCTTAGAAAGGACCGTCACATCCGCTCCATCAACGCCCTCAACTCCCGGCACCTCACCAGCTACCAAAACCGCTTCCGACGTTTGAGGTTCAGCTGAAACTCCAGTCACTGTAATCTCCGGAATCTTCAACTCCGCCAGGGCGTCCGCCTTCTCTTTCATCCAGTCGAGCGTCTCATCGACGTCCCGATTGAAGCGCTGCACCTCGTGGGCTGACTCCAGCTGGGCCGCCTTGGCCGCCGACACCGCCTGCAGGTCGGTCCACTTGCCGTTGAGGACGGCCACCTGTTCGGTGATCTTCCGCGCCGTCTCCGGCTGACCCTGCTCCTGAAGCCGCCCGGCAATGTCGTTCATCTCCTGCAGCCGCACCTCATTGGCCTTCAGCTCCTCGAGAAAGTCGTCAAACTTCTTCTGCAGCACCTCCACCTGCTCGAGGTCGTCTCCGTCGCCGACCACCTGAATGGTGGCAATCTGCTCTTTGTCCTTGATCCACTGGCCCAGCTCGGCCGCCCGACGCACCGCCTGGTAGGCCTTGCAGGCGTCCTCCAGCTTTCGCTTCCGCTCCTGACCGGCGGCTAACAGCGACTGGTAGTGGTCTTCGATTTGCTGCTGACGACCGGCGATGGTCAGCGGCGGAGGTTGAGTGGCTGAAGTGGCAGTTTGATCTTCAGTCGAAACGACCGCCGCCGGCGGAGCCTTCTTCAGGTAGGCCGCCGGGACGAAGCCCTGCCGGTCATTCACCTCCACCTTCCACCAGTCCTTGTTGTGGGCGTTTAGAAGCGTCAGCGTCTCGCCTCGCTTCATCGACACCTCTCGCGGCGACTTTTCCACGTAGTCTGCGGTGGCCACCACCAGCTCCTTGTTTCGCTCCGACAGGCCGGGCGAGAGGCTATCCAGCTCTTTGCAGGCCTTTGAGCGGTCGTGCAGCTCGTTGATGGTCGCCTCAAAGGCGGCCAGGTCGGCCATCAGCGCCTCGTGCTTCTTCAGCAGCGCCTCGGTGCTGTCCTCGTCCTTGCCGTAGTCGTCTGCCTTGGCCTTGGGCGACACCAGCGGCTCTTTCTCGCTGATCCACGACTCCGCCTCGGCCGCGTCCACAAAGTACTGGTGCACCTCCAGAGAGTCCTCCAGGTCCAATCGGCGGCGATTAGCCTGCTCCACCAGCGACGCCCAGGCCGCCTGAAGGGCGGAGAGGCGGGCGCGAATCTGCTCGACGCCAAAGTGCTCTCGGCCACCACCACTGCTTCCATCGCCGCCCGCAGCCAGCAACGCCTCCGCCTCTTTGACCACCGCCTGGTGGCGGGAGTTGCCGTGGGAGGTGATCTCCGCCAGCAGTCCCTGCTGCTTCTTGATCAGCGACTGGACGCCCATCAGGTCGCGGCCGCGATTCGAGCTGGCCGCTATTGGCTCCTTCTCCGCGATCCACGCCATCTCGTCCTCAATGTCGCAGAAGAGCTGCTGCATCTGCAGCGACTCGTTCAGCCGCTTGCGGCGGTTCTTCAGGGGCAGCTGAAAACAAGAGAAAAAAGTTAAAATAGAACTCAAAACGAATCCCTAAAACCGACGACTCACCTTGATCGCATTGAGCCGCTTCACCAGAGCGCTCTTCTTCGCCGCAATCGCCTCTGCGTGAAAGTGCTTCCGCTCGGTGAACTCGGCGCTCCGGGAGATGATCTCATTTACGGCCGCCCCCCTGGCGGCCACCTCCGCCTCCACCGCCGCCTGCTTCTGCAGCAGATGGCGGACGGCGTTCAGGTCTCGGCCATAGTCCTCCACGGCCAGCGCTTTCTCAATCTCGCCCAGCCACAGCTCGACGTCCTCCACTTCGCGGTTGTACGCCTGCTCGGCGAGCGCATCCTCCAGCTTCGAGGCCTTGTTTGCCAGCGCCGCCGTCAGCTGCGTCCACAGGCCGGCGATCTCCGCCGCCTTCGCGGCAATGTCCTGCGCCGCGTAGTGGTAACGCTCTCTTTGGACAGTCTCTCCACTGTCGTCTTTCTCTTCCACCATCACCGGCGCCAGCAGGCGCTCCGCCTTGACCGCCAGCTCCTGAACGCGCTCCTGGTTGGCGGCGATCTCGCGCTCAAAGTTCCGGTGCTGCTGCTGCTTCCCGCTCAGATTGGTCAGCTCGTGGTAGTTTTCATCCAGGCTGATCTTCAGCCGCTCCACGATCCAGAACTTGGTGTCGTCGTAGTCGACGGTGAACTGCTGGTAGCTGCTGGCATCGGCCAACATGGCCGCCCGCGACCGGGCGCGCTCCATCAGCCGCCGTCGGCGGTCCAGGAAGGCCACCCGCCGCTGTTCGATCTCCTCCGCCGCGTAGTGCCCACTCTCGACCAGCTTCCGCGCAAACTCGTCCAGCGCGTTGATCTTCTCCTCGTGGGCGGTCAGAGACTTAAGAAAGTCGTCGTGCTTCTTAATTAGAGCCTCCACCGAATCGAGCGAGTCGCCGAGGTCGGCCGCCTCAAGGAAGGTGTTCTGCTTGACCATCCAGTTGTCCGCCTGTTCAGTGTCGCGCAGAAAGAGCTGCAGGTCCATGCACTGCTCGTAGAGGATGCGTCGCTCCTCCCAGAGCAGCACCAGGGACATCTTCTCGTCGTTCAGCTGGTTCAGCTTTTCGCTTATCTTAAGGTAGTAAGAAAGATGGTAACAGTGTGGTAATCAGGGTTTAAATCAATGATAATCGAATCAGCACCACCTACCTCCTTAACACTAATCTCCGCCTCCATCAGCGCCCGCCCTTCGGCCTCGGCCGCCTGGAAGGCGTCCTCGCGGGCGTCAATCTCGCCCTTGTGCTCCTGGTGCCGCTCCAAGAGGATCTCCGCACTGGCCACGTCCTTCGCCAGTTCCTCGCCGCCGATGGCCGTCTTCATCAGCTCAATCCACCCCACAATGTCGCGGTAGTCGGCGAGGAACTTCTGCAGCTGGTAGGCCTCGTCCAGGCGCTGCCGCCGCTCGGCCGCCTTCTCCTTCAGCGCCGACCAGTTACTCTCCAGCTGGAGGCGTTTCGAAAGTACGTACTCGGAGCCGTGGCGCTCGTGCAGCGAGAGGGCTTGCTCCGCTGAAATCGAAGAGGGGAAAAGTAAATAAAGAAGTTCTAGAAAACAGTGTACAAAAACAAAAAGAAGGTAAAGACTTACAGAGCGCATCCACCTTGTCCTCCAGGGCGGCCAAATCTCGCTCCAGAACTTCGTGCTTTCGCTGGGCGGCCTGGACGGCAATCAGCGTCTCTCGCCCGGCGTCCGCTCCAGCTGCAGCTTTTTCAGGCGGCGCAAACAGCATCGAACTGCCCAGCAGCTCGTCCTTCTCGGCGATCCAGCACAGCGTCTCCACCGCCTCCTGGTTGAAACTGAACATCTCGTGGGCGCCCTTCAGCTTCTCACCGCGCGCAGCCACTAGCCCTCGCAGACGCTCCCAGGCGGCGTTCACCGCATCGCGTCGCTCCAGAATGACCTTCGCCTGCTGGTGTCCCTCTTCAATCAGCCGCGTCGCCCCCTCGTTCACCTCCACCAGACGGGCCTCCTCGCTGGCCATGTCCTTCAGCAGCTCGTCAAACTTGCGCTGCAGCACGTCCACGTGCTCGATGGCGCTCTCCTCATTGGCGCCGCTGTGGGCAAAGTCGTCTGAGGTGAGCGCCGACTCGCGGTCGCCGATCCAGAAAAGGACCTCCTCGCACTGGCGGGTGAACTGCAGGAGGATGAGCGCTTCGCTGAGAAGGACCGACTTGTGGGAGATCTTCAGCAAAAGTAGCTCCCAGAGGCGGTGAAGTTCGTCCAGTTTTTGCTGCACAGAAAGTGAAACGAATGATTGGATTAAAATAGGTAAAAATCGAACAAACACCAAACAATGCGTCTCAATGAAAAACTTTTTTTTGTTACCTTGATGGCCTCGCTCGCAAAGTGCTGCGCATTGATCATCTCCAGTCCGTTTCGGTCCAGCGTCTCAATGGCCTCTACATGGGCGGTCACCTCCGCCTCGAAGGCCTGGTGCTTCTGAATCTTTGCTGGAAGATTGGTTGGCTCGCGGTAGCTCTCCTCGGCGACGATGGCCAGCTTCTCCCGGATCCAGCTTTCCAGCTCGTCGGCGTCTCGCTTGAAGTACTGGTAGCGCTTCGAGTCCTCCAACTTGTTCCGCTTGTCCTTGGCGTCCGCCTTGAAGAGCACGTACTTGCCGAGGACGGTGTCTCGCCGCTCCTGGATGTCGTCCACCGTCTCCAGCACCTTGGGCGTCGCTTCCTCGCCGCCCGAGTCCTCGCCGCCGGAGAGCTCTCCGAGGAGGATCGATGATTTGGGTGGTGATGAAGAAAGAAGCGGTGGTGGTGATTGCGTTGATGGCGGTGATTTTGCCTCATCCTCTCCACCGACTGTCGCAGTTGCCGCTGCTGATGGTGGCGGACTTTGGTCAGCCATTTCGACAGCTGGTCAAAAGTGGCTCAGAAGTGATATTTTGTTTGTGGTATATCTTCTAAGTCGTCAATAGGAAGAAGGCAGCAAAGGTTAGCCAGTTGAAAAAAATAGAATATTCTTGGGTGTGTTTGGCAGTGTGTGTGTGGTTGTGAGTTTGCAGCGTTGTCGAGAGTAGTACCACACTGGAGGACGCCCAAAATAGAAGTGGAAACCGTTTTTGCTGCTGCTGCTGTTGCTGCTACAGTCTCTGCTTTGCATTTGTCTTCGCTTTCACTTTTGACTTCTTCTTCTTCTTCTTCTTCTTCTTCTTGTGCTAACGGCAGAGATGCCGCACACACACTCCGCGCGCGCTGATTCATAAACATTCTGCTGCTGCTTCTGTTGATTCTGCTGTTTGTCTTTCTCTTCTTCTTCTTTTTCTTCTGCCGCAACACTGGTGGCACAGCGGTGGTGGCGGTGGTCTATTTTTAACCGTTCCTCTCCGTTCCGTTCAATTCAATCGCCCTTCTCGCCAACACTCTGTTTGTGCCAACGGCAGCGATTGCAAAGCTGCCGTGCTCGCAGAGAAAATTGCAGTAGACACAAAGCTTTAGTTGGGTGAGAAGGAAACCAGAAGAAGAGGAGAAGAGAAAATCAAAAGTGTAGGCAAGTTTTTCGTTTCTTCTTTTCTGCTGCTGCTGATTCTGTTGCTGCTCCCTCGGTTACGGACTGGTAATTGGCCAGAAGCTTGTCGTCGTATGCTGTTTCAGCCTGTGGCGAAAAGTCACAGGCGCGCGAATCGGGTAATCTCCTTTCTGATGGGAAGAGGAAAAATTTAAATTCAGCAAAAAAAAGTTTGATCGTCTCCCCCTCTTTTCCTCTTTGTTTAAAGTGTGACGTGACCGCTTGACGCGACGCTCACCGGCCACTTCTGGCACTAGTCAGTTCTGGCGCTTTTCCTATCAGTTCTTGATCACGTGACACAAACACTAACATTGACACTATCATTCCTTATCAGTGATAAGTTATAATTCACACAATGACACACAGACACACGGCCTTCCTAAAACACCACATGAACCGGAGATCCTGTTTGTGCTAGAGTGTTATTTAATTTTTATTCGTTTTTAGATGTGATGAAAGTGTGGGTGTGGTTGTGGGGGTTTTTACTAACAAACAAAAAAGTGGCTGAGAGTGGCTGATGAGAAGCAAAGAAAAGGGGCGAAAAAAAAATTTGGCAATGTTTGCACAGTGTGTAGTGTTATGGAGGTGGTGGTAGTGAGACAAAAAAGATGATGATGATAATGAAGATAACTCCATAGATGTAGAGGAAAAAGAATAAGCTATGACAGAGGTGAAAAGACAAAAGTGAAATGTACAAGAAGAAAAAGAGGGATGTCTTTTCATCCGGTCAAAGTTTAGAGAGAATTAAAGAGACAAAATGAGGAGATGAGGAGGAAAAGAAAGTGAGGAAGACAGTTCAGAGAAAGAGAGAGAAATAAAAAGACATATCACCAGAATCAGAACCTGGCTGACTGGAGGAGAAGGAAGGAGAAAATAAGTTAAGGAAAAAACAATCGAGACAGAAGATGAGAGAGAATGAGAGAGGAAGAAGTTCAGGGGAAAAATGGTATCTTACAAAAGAAAAGTGAGAGAGCGACAGAAGACTGTCACTTGGTACGGTAGAGAATGAGAGATAGTTGGCTAATAATAATACATGCACACCCAGATACGCAGATCGAGACAGCTGTTACACACATGTGACTACAACACTTGGCATAAATCAGATGGTCGCAATTTGATTGAGCTTCTGCAGCTTCCAATTTTTACTGTTTTTTTCAAGCTCAATCACACAAACACAGCTTTCTTTTCTTTCTAGCTCTGTGCTCTTTCTCTCAGTAGGCGTACGGACCGATGCCGTACTGCGATCCGGCGTGGGCGTAGGCGGCGGTGCTGTACGGTCCCGGGTAGGCGTAGGCGTAGTTGAGCCCATAAGGACTGCGCTTGTCCGGATAGACGGGCATGAGGTACTGCATGTTCTTCGCCTGTTCGAAACGCTTCTCCGTGCGAATGCACCGCGCCGCAGAGAGGAAGATGATGGCGGCGATGAGCAGCTGGCTGATGCCGATCCAGGCGACGATGTACGACCAGCCGTAGTAGAACTCGGTCACGCCGGGGTGTTTCAGCACCTGCAAAGAAAAACAACCAAAATTTTATTTTTTAACTTAAAAAACTTTTTTTTCTTCTTACATCAGGCCACGCCGAGTAGGAGTACTCGTCCTTGAGTTTGTGGTGGTCGTAAAACTGGACCGCATGCCAGAGGCCCATGGCGCCGGCGCACATCACGGCTGAAGGGAAAAGAAGAAAAAGGGAAAAGATGATTAATTAATGGACCTCCTCCTATTGGTCATCGTCGTCTTCAATTATTAATCTTTTGTTCTTCTGAGCAACTTACAGGCAAAAAGCTGAAGAAGTCCAGTGGAGACGAGATTAGCATGAGATCGCTTCCAGCAGCCTGCGCAAAACAGATAGAAGAAAAGGAGAGGTATTTAGTCGACTGTATGTTAGATTAGCTTCATTAGAATAGAAGGAGGAAAAGAAAAGACAATCATTAAGAAGGGCTAATGAAGTAGTTTTGAGCCTGCCTGCCTGCATTTTCGACCTCTTCCCCTCAGGAGGTTATCCCCTTCTCTGTTCAATATTTCTCTGTTATTATTATGATGATGATCGTTCATTTAGCCATCATCAACGCCATCACCGTCATTACTCATAGCTTGTGAGCCCCCACCAACTTACCGGCAATTCCCGTGAAGAAGGAGAGAAAAATGAAGAAAAAGGCCATGATGTACAGCGCCACCACGGAGCGAGCCATATCTAAAGAGGAGGAAGAGGAGGAAAGAAATCAAGGAAATGAAAATTAATACCAGAGACGAGGCAAACCAGGACAGAGGGAATGTAGAACAGCATAAAAAAATAAACAAGAGAAAAAGAGAGACCAAAGCTGTCAATTACTAAAATCTAAATATGACTAGTCATTTCCTGCTGCTGCTGCCGCCGTTGACCAACAGGTGTTGTTCCCTTGATCAGCAGCAAAAACGGCCACCTGTGTTCCAAGCTAGCCAGCTAGCTTGTTGTAAGTTGAATGTCGCCGTAAATGGTGACTGTGACAAATGCCCCTTATTAAATGAGAGCGAAAAGGTGGTGAGGGCACACACACTGCTGCATAGCCAGAAATATGTGTGCCACCTCCACCACTAAAAAGAGATTGAGAAATCAATCAGCAAACGAAGACTGTCGCGACTTGACAAAAATAGACAGCAGCAGCAGCAGTGCCTAAACGACGGCGACAACTTCAGCCACGGCGACGAAGACGCTGGGCGCCACAAAGCGGTAATTTGCCTTGCAAACAGCCTCGACTCTCCATTTCCTTCCCCCTTGCTGCTGCCAAAAAGTCGTCAACGTTCTCCTCAATCTTTAAAAGACAGAAAGAATGAAAGACAAGAGGGGAAGAGAAAAGGGGGCGGCAAATCGATTGGTCATCGTGGTGTCTTTCTTTTCTTTTTTCGTTTCCCCTTCCCTTCTCGTCTTCCTTTTCTTTCGTCACCTTTCAGTCTATTATACCAGAGAGGAACAGAGAAAGATAGAAAAAACTAAAAGGGCGCAAAGGATCGGCAGCAGAGTTTAATCAGAAAAGATCAGTTACAAAAGATCCGAAACTACGCTGAACAGAGAACACAAAACACCGAAACGCCGGCGAAAAGCTCACCAGCTCGCCCCAACAATGCAGCCAAAACAGGGACTTTAGTGAGAAGAGATTCAAATCAAAGAGATGAAGGAGAAGGAGAAGGGAAGGCAAAGATCTTTCTTTCTAAAGATCGCCGTGCGCATTTGTCGCGCGAGATCGCAAGTTGAAGAAAAGAAGAAAAAGAAGAAGAAGAAAAGAACTTCTCTTTCGTTCAGAACAGAACAAATTTGTTTTTAGCGTCTGCAGACTGTACAAGTGCCGCTGCTGCTGCTGAACACAAAGCAGCAGTCTCAGGACTAAAGTTTGACTGGTTCTCCACCCTCACAAACACAGTCAAACGGCGTCGTTTCTTCCTCCACTACTACAAACGCACAGCTGTCGCAATTACCGCGGCTATTATCAGCAAAAGGACAACAGACAGAGAGAGAGAACAAGACAGGACACATTCGGACATGTTTTGCATGTGTTACCGGCGGTCTGTCTGTGTGTGTGTCGGAAGCATAAGCAGACAACAGTGGCGGCAACATTAGCTGAATGATGGAGATGACAGTCGATAAGAGAAAGAGCCGAGTCCGCTAACTGCTCAGGTGTGTCACACGCAGTTTGTTGTGAGTCGGTGTCACGTTGCCGTCGCGCCATGCTCGATCTACTTGAGCTATATTTAGCAGATGATGAGATAAGAGGTGGAGAAAAGGAAGGTAGAAAAGTGTAAAAGTGTGTGTGTCCAGTATTTCCAACTTTTCATCATCATTTTCTCCTGCAGCAACCACTATTCCTCAATCACTGCGTCCGCATCGAAAGCCCAAGACAGCAATCACCGTCGCCGTCAAAATCATCAACACGCATTTTCTGCTGCTTTAAAACAAGAGCAAAAGCTTAAAAACAAAATTTTCTTCTTCCTTTTGGTCATCTCTTTTTGTTGTTGACGAGGACGGCTGCGGCTGCGGCAGTTGATGACACACTGAAGAGTTTATATTTACATAATGCTGATGCAGTTTGGTCAGCGATCGAAATGACGGACAACATTATCAGCAACATCAACAACAATAACGGCAAATAAACTCCGTCTTTCGAGCTGAGCTTTCGCATCGGCAGTGGCAGCAGCAGCAGTCAATTACCAAGAGAAACGTTGCATCTACTGCTCAACTGACCGAATGACTGAATGGGAACCGATTACCGAAGAGAGAGCGAGAGAGAGAGAGAGAATCACGATGTCCAGTGATGACTTCTTTTTTAACTTAACCAACCAACGTTTTCTAAAAAACCGATGTCTTCGTGGCGGAAAATAATAACAACATTCAAAAAACTAATTTGACTACCAGACCTCCGAGCCCGGTNGAGAATCACGATGTCCAGTGATGACTTTTTTTTAACTTAACCAACGTTTTCTAAAAAACCGATGCCTTCGTGGCGGAAAATAATAACAACATTCAAAAAACTAATTTGACTACCAGACCTCCGAGCCCGGTAAAGCACACACACGACTGACTCCCCAACATGACCATGTTTTCCAAGTGGGAAACACTTACGCAATCGTTCCCAGCGCATGTCGCTGAAACCGTCAGACTCCTTGTTCTCCGGAATGTAGTAGTCAATGTTGAAGCACTCGGTCTGCGTCGGCGAGAGGTACGTTGGCACTAGAGGAGAGAAGAGAGAAAAGAAAAGAACAAGAAAAAATGGTCAGTTTACGGTGTTTGTTTTGAGGGAAAAGTATGGGGAGGAGGACATCACCTCCATCAACGACAACAACAACAACAATTTGACATGGCGATGATGATGCTGTGCAGGCGCAGGCCAGTCAGTCAGACCTGTGCATCCTCGGTTATTTAGTTTCCTCCACTGCTGCCGTAGCGGTAATCACAGTGGAAGCAAGCGTTTCCTTTAAAGTAGTAGAAGAAAAAGAAGAAGTAAACTCCTTTGCTCGGTCAGTGGCTTCTCAGTGACTCTTTCATTCAGTGCTGCTGTTGATCATCTCACCACTAGCAGTCAAACTGGCAGTTAATTGTCATCCTCGTCGTCGACGACGGCAATTGTCTTTGTCTTCCCGAATGTGTGTGTGTCTTTCCTAATGAACCTGCTGCCTCTGTCTTTGCCATTGCTGCTGCTGCTGCACTTGACATTACCAGGCAGGCAAAGAGTGAGAGAGATTAACTGGAAATGGCAAATTAGAGCTGTGCCTGGAAAATTGCTGCTCTTGCAGTAGGTCACCGAAGACTGGGACGACACTGCTGGGTGGCAATGAGTGCCAGCAGCCAGCAATTAGTCCGTCTTTGAGCACTGGTAGTGGTGGTGACACACTGCCGCCACTGAGGAGAAGAGCTGCTGTCTCAATCGTCAATATTTTGCAACAACGACAGACAACGTCTTTCTTCCGTCATTTTGCAGAAGAAAGAGAAGAAGAAAACAAATACAGCCTTCACCAGGAAAGTCAGTGTTGTTGTGGAAGCTCAGAAAACGTGATCTGTGATTAGCAGCATTCACTGCAGCTTGACAGTGAAAGCTTGGCAGTTTACTTTCCATTCAACACGTGTCTCTGTTGCCTGAAGCAGAAACCTCAAAGAAGACCTGTGCGCGCACGTGTACTCAAGAAGAAGAAGAATAAGATGAAAAGAAGGTTGAGGAGGAGGAGAAGGGCATTGCGCCCGGGAATGGGGGCCCAAAACTACAAAAAACCTTCACACAGCAAACAGGGCAGACAAAAGCTGCAGACGAGCACACTAAGCAAATAACAGTGAAAGCAGCTTTGCTTGCTTGCTTGTCTGCCAAGTTATGTGCCTGCCAAACAGTGTACAATGAATGAATGAATGAGCGAGTGAATGATGGTCACCACCGCCATCATCATCATCATCAGCCACTATTGAACGATGGTCGCTGTCCTCTCGTGGAAGTAGCAGCAGTGCTCTTTATGTTCTTTCTGTCAGTGGCCTAGAAATAGCTGCTGCTGCTGCGGTTGTGGTGCACTGCTGACACCTTCAAAACAGCACTGGCACTCTTATTAATAAGTGTCGGCTGCTGTGCATGTTTGCTCGAAGTATGTGATAGGCAAAGCTAATCGACAATTGCCACCTCGGTGGAGTATACACAGAGGCTGCGGCGGTGGTAGAGACAATGGTGGTCAGCCTTAGCTTCCACTGAAGAAAGGGAGAAAAAAGGTAAGGTAGCAGGAGGAGGAGGATTGATGGACTCTGCAACCTCGACTGAAAACTACTCAATAGCTGCAACTGTGTTTAGCAGCAGCAGCAGCAGTGTTGACTGATTGAGAGGGAGACTTGGACTTCAGCTCGGGTGCTCAGAGGTAAGACATAGAGACTGTGTAGCTGCCTGTTGTGTGCATCGAGGTGTAATTGCCTGCTTTCTCTCTCTTTTTAACTTCTTCAACTTTGCCTTCTCTCTTTTGCACCAATTAATGAGCATTTAGTGGGGAGAGCAGGGGCAACAGCAGCAGCAGCAGAAGAAGCCGGTACTAGCTGGGCTAAAAATAGCAGGTGCCAAGTAGAAGTGAAGTAGGCAAAGTAAACATTGAGAGAGCGAGGAGATGAAAAAGATGAAAGAAGGTGAAGAGACTTAGTGTCGATAGTGGTGGTGGAGGCTAATTTGGCTGCCAAAGTCAACAGCAGCCTCCTCCTCCTCCTCACTTCTTTTCACTCCTAAACTAGGCCTTCAGTATTTGCATAATCGACTAATTGTCAAACGATCAGGGGAGCTCAGCACTGGGCTTAGCTGGCCAAAGCTGCTGGTGACTTACCTTCCCATCACCTCTAATAATTTTCCCCATTAGCTGAGCATTTGATGACCAGAAAGTCTTGAGCCCCCTCATCATCACCACCATCACCACCACCACCTTCATCATCATCATCAGGTTTTACTGTCTTTCTTAGAACTGACTGACCGCACCGAAGCAATGAACATACATACATTTCACCGCTTTCCCCTCTGGCCGTCGGCGAGCCGGAGCAAATAGAGAAAAAAGAAGAAAAAAGAAAGAAAGAAGAAAAGGTGCACCCTTTTAGCTATGAACACCGCACAAACTCAGACACACACAGGTAAAGGTCCTTTCAGTCAACACCGAGAGGACAGGACAGCGAGTATTTTTGGCGACAGCCGAAGGAGAGATGCAGTACAAACGGCAACAGCAATGGCAGCAGCAGCCATAAATCAAGTATTACCTGAAAGAGAGCAGAAGTAGCGGAGGTATGCGGTCTGCTATGTCTGAGCNTATTACAAACGGCAGCAGCAGCCATAAATCAAGTATTACTTGAAAGAGAGCAGAAGTAGCAGAGGTATGCGGTCTGCTATGTCTGAGCCCTGTGCACTGCACGCTGATGTCTCCCCTATCAATATCATCGGTGACCATCAGCAACGACAGCAGCAGTCGTACTTGATTTTCTAGAGCGCAAAGGTGCACAATCGATTGAGAGGAATGAAAGGTGCTGCTGCTGCATCAGAGCAAGGTTGTACACTTCTTTTGGCACACAATGTGAGCACAGTGAGACTGAAAACAAAGTCTGACTCAGAGGATTCAATTGCTGCTGCTGCTGCCTGACAGGAACAGCAACAGGTGACATCATTGCACACTGTTCACTGAGGCGCCAGAAAAAGCTAGAGCAGAGGAAAAAGTGGCGCCTGTTTCTTCCCTCTCAGTCACAACGCTGACTTTGGCGAACATGGCTGCAAATTGAATTACCATATTTGTGCATGTGACGGTAATAGAGTCATGGCGGTGGTGGTGGCGATTGTGGTAATAGTCAATGGTAAGTGCTCTCTGCTGCTGCTAAAAAACAACACACAACTCACGAAAAAGGAGACAAAGAAAAAATAGTACGACAGCAGTCAGTTCAAAACAGAGGAGGAGAAGAAAGGCGACAGGTAAAGGCTATTAGAAAACCAATTCTTCATCGCACACAATCTTTAGGCTCTGAAAGCTCAAAACTCAAAGCTCTAACGAGACTGGTGAAGCGTGCTGCTGCTGCTGTTGCTGTTCCTGGCGCAAAACAAATCGTTTGCAATTGGACTGTTGCTGTAGTGCTATCTTCAACACTCCTTTCCCAGCTCGGCTGAATTAGCTGCGGTGAAAGCAGCAGCAGCCACGACAGAAGCTTCGAAAACACCTCGAAGAAATCAGCTGTCGAAAATCAGCTGAACAGAGAGATTTTCACCACCTGGGTGCACACCACACCACTGACGCTGATTTTAACAACAGCAGCAACAACGCTCGGTACCTGTTCGCTTTCGATTCGATTAGCAGCAGCAGTTTTTAGATCGAACCAAGATTAGCTAACGAAGAAGATCACCTCTTTCAGGTGGTGGTGGTGGAGAAAGTGATCTACAGTAGCAGCAGCAGCAGCAGCAAAACAATGGCCTGCTTTTCAACCACTGCTCAAGATCTCCGAACAGCGAGAACAAAGAGAGAAAGGTGAAAAACAATGCAGGCAGGCTGAAATGATTTGGGTGCCTTCGGGCTCGCTTACACTACACTAAGTCTGGTAAGTCCAACAACTAAGCCGACAGTTTCCACCACCACCACCAGCATGAGTAAGCAAACTTAGCCCTTTTCTTTTTTGTCCGAAGTTTCGGTCAGCAGCAGTTTATGTGTAGGTCAGCACACAGACACAGCTTAGCTGAGATAGACTAGGACAAGACAGTAGTGGCATTAGTAATTACCAGCAGCAAAGAAGAAGAAGCCGCAGGAAACGAAGGGGCTAGAAAGAAAAGGTAGGTAGGTAGCAGCAGCCAGCCAGTCAGGCTTAATTATGTCGACAGTCAGTCAGCAAACTAGAAAGAGAGCTAGAAGGTTGACCAGTCTTCGAGAAAAAAGAGGATAGAAAGAGAGAAGAGGCGGCCAATTAATAATTTGCTAGTGTCTGTCTGGTCAGCTACGACAGAACTAGTACTAGCACTAGTAAGACAACCAGTACTACAACCACTACAACTACTACAACTCAGCTACTCGGAGCACTCGATAACGGGACAACTCTCAGCCATCATCAGTCGGCCGCCAAATGACATGAAAACGGCAGTCGGTTTTCGAGGGAAGAGAGGAGAGGAGGAAAGAACCGGCTTCAAACTCAACCTCAACTCCTTATCGTCTGTAGCACTACCCGTCTGCTGCTGATGACGCTGAAGTAGAAGAAGATGCGGCCATTCATTAAAACAGGATTTTTAGCAGCAGTGGCTCGAACGAAGACATCGACAGCTAGCTAGCTGGCGGCTAATTTCACTGCCTGAGAGACTGCCCAGAAGAACGGCTATCAGGAAGTCGAGTTACCAGCTAGCTTTCAAAGGATTCGATCATCTGCTTTGCCTGCTGTTGACCTAATCAACGAGCGCGATTACTCTCCAGCTACAGCTACAGCTACAGCTACGGTACCTGGCAGACTCGAGTGCCGGATGAACTTGTAATCTAAATAGCAGCCAGGTCAGCTCATCGAGGTGCATCGAAAAGTAGCGAGGGAGAGAGAGATTATAATCAGCACTGCCTGTGTGTTGATTGCAGTGGTAACTTGTAAGGTGGTGAGCAGATTTGTCCTACTACCACCACCACCACTGATACTCGGATGATGGTGATGATGACTGGTACAAAAACTCTTTCAACAAGGACTCACCTTCTTTGGGCTTCTTCTCGGCGAAGCAGACGCGAAAGAGGCCCTCATCGCGCGAGTAGTAGAGGTAGTTGGACTCGTAGTCGGCTGGTAAGGTTTGATGAGCTGATAAGTCTCCACTGGAGCGCTGCTGGTCCTGCAGATAGAGCCGCGTCTTGTTGGAGTCGACCCGAATTTCGTACCAGTTGTCGGTGCTGAAGCCGATCGCCAGACAGGCAACCGCCACCACGGAGAGCACCGTGGCGATGGAGAGCGTCACCGCAGAGCAGGACATGGTCGGTATGAAGTTGTGAAAAGGAGTTTGGAAAAGAAGGTGATGAGGATGATCAAGAAGGTTGTGAAGTTGTGGTGGTGCTGTGGCTACACACTAAGTTGACATTGATGAAGGTGGTGGTGGTGGTGATGCGGCTGCTGTCAAGATCATCGGAGAAAGCGGAGCCGGAGCATTCAAAGCTCAGGGAAAAGCACCGAAGGAGATAATGACAAAGAAGAGGAGGAGGAGAGGAATATCACAACACACCAAAGCTGAAACTGGTGATTAAAGGGCTGAAGTAGTTGTAGAAAGAACACACGGCTACAGCACACAAAGAACGACAAAAATGGCCGGTCTTCGATGGTGGTGATAGTGATGGTCTTCGATTGCCTCGGTGGTGACTAAAAACGGCTGCTGTTGCTGCTGCCAGCTGAAAACAACGTGTCTCTCGGGCACTTTGGAGTGAGCAGAGCTGGAGCCTGTTAAGGAGCCTGTCGTCAGTCTCTTCTTCTCGTTTCTAAAAGCTCACCTCCGAAGATGCTACCGAGCTGGGAAGAAGAAGATGATGAAATTGAGAAAACGGCAAAACTATCTGTTGCTGGCCGAGTGTGGTTGTCTCTGTGTGTCTGTCTGTTTGTCGCTGTGTCTTCTCGAAGCAGACCAAGCNTGAAATTGAGAAAACGGCAAAACTATCTGTTGCTGGCCGAGTGTGGTTGTCTCTGTGTGTCTGTCTGTTTGTCGCTGTGTCTTCTCGAAGCAGACCAAGCTCAGACTCGAGGAGCAGCAGCGGCGGCGGCTCTACGACGATGGCAAAGTAGAAGAAAAGTGGCGGCAATGGAAGAGTCGAGCTGAACTGAACTGAGAGAAGAGCGAAGGAGCTCTCTTTGGAGCTGGAGGAGAGGCCAAGCGACGGCCAGTCAGAAAGAGAGAGAAAGAAAGAATTAGCCACAAGGTATCCTCAGCACTTCTGACGCTGCTTCGG